TAAACACATTTCATTACACCAAATACACAAAATAATGTTCTTTTTAGCAGCATCATATGACCCCTTTAATATATTATTATATACTTCCAAAAAAATCTGGGGAAAAATGTATAGAAATCCTCTCCTCAAATAAATATAAAGAGATTTTAGATAGTAGATTTTCAACGTAAGCTAAGACTTTTTTATTTCATATTTAAACTTAGACTGCAAAGAAGTTTAACAATTGATTTAACACAAACATTTTCAAATCATTAACCCTAAATTTCTTTTACATAAAACAAACATCCAGGAATGTGCGATATCTGTTCATCAATAAATATCACCTCACAGACAAAAGAAACTAGCTCAAGGTCATACTGGGGCCAGGATTGTGAGGTCGTCTACTAGCTCACCTGGTCAAAAAGTAGGCGGAGCTGTCGTTCAGACTCTCCCACCCATTTGCTGAGGCAGTCGGCTCCCTTGCGCATGAAAAAAGACACCTTCCTGTCACCCTGACTGCATTCATTGGCCAAAGCCCGCGCCACCAGCGTCTTCCCAGTTCCTGGAGGCCCATAGAACAGACATCCTCTGCAATGAGGGAAAACATGATACAAACATGTTAGTGTTAACCTTGGACAGCACACCAACGGATGCACTTTTACACACAAAACTAGAAAGCAATCATATAAGCAAAAACCCTTACCTTGGGGGCTGGATCTTAAACTTCTCAAACACTTCTGGATATAGTAGAGGAAAGACAACCATCTCCTTTAAAGACTGGATGTGATGGGTGAGACCTCCTACACTGTCAAACTTCACCTGCATTGAAAGAGACAAGAACATATGCTAACCTGCAACGCATCTTTTTCCTTAGTCTAAAATCAACAAAGCATCAAAGAATGTAGAGGAGTATTATAACACCCAGACTCACAGAAGAGTCTAGATTCATGGGATCCACATCTGCCAAACTGGCACCCACTTTTACTCTGTCTCGAAGCACACCGCTGGCCAGATCTTCTGCCCGCAGGTTCATGGGTAGACACCTGTCACACAATATAGACAAAAAATTAAAAACAAGTAACGTCAAACCTTACTAAGTTCACATACTTTAGCCATGTAATAAGTCATACATTAAGTGAATAACCAGTCATTCTGTTTGATAACAGTTTTAATGTCACCTGTTACGAGCTCGGCTCATGCTTTTGCTTTTCCGCCTCTCAAAGCGCTCTTCATCAGACGATGAAGTTGATTCACTACTGTGAATGGCATGTTTCTTTATTCTGGTGACGAAAACACAGGAGTGTTGTTTTAGTATCGAGATTCTATTGAAGTTTTTGCTATTTTATATTAATATTTTTAGTAGTTTAATTTTACATTTTGTTTTCATTTTAATTTTAATTGAATTTTTAGAAGTTTTGCTGTACGTTTTGTCTTTTTTATATATATATATATATATATGTCTATACAGTTCTATTCATTTTTATTTCAGCTTTAATACTAGTTTTTAACTACAGCAATTAATTTAAAATTTTAAAATTAAATTAAAGAATGAGAAATGTTGCCTTGGCAACTAGCTAAAATTAATAAGTTAATAATTTTTAAATATATTATTTTGTTTCACTTAACTTTCAATTCATTTCCATTTATTTATTTAATGTTTTAGTTAACAATAACAACCCTGAAACACAGAAAATATAGCCCTCCAAAAAGGAAGAAATAACACATGAATAGAAACTTATGGATTGGACTGCTGTAAAAAAACATTCTTCACCTAATATGGCTTCTTCTTGCAGGAGATCTGTGTGTGTCGAACAGAGAGCCCTTGCTTTGCTTCCTGTTCACTGGCTCTGAGAAAACACAAATGAAACGCATTCAAAAGGCAAAATCATAATTTAAAACAGCCATTAAATGCACACGCTGCATGGCGTGGAAATATCTGCTGGTCATAAGGATGTTTTAGATGCTCGAGCATGACTCGAGGAATACAGGAAGCTCAGGTAAGCGAGTCTGAGTACAGATGCTCATGTGTGAATATTAGGGATGCACCGATACCGATATCGGTATCGGGCCTACATACCTTCTATCAAAATTATCTAACATTATCAAGATGAATTTGTTCTGACACAGTGTAACTCTGAGTTCTTGTCATATTTTATTACCATTTTCTAAACTATAGCGAATATAATGTGATAATGTGAGAAATATTGAAGGTGTCTGAATACATTTTGGTTTGACTGTATCTATTTGATAAATGAAGTTAACCAACTAACATTATACATACCCTTTTGGTTTCTGTACCCAATATTTAAAAAATGTACAAATGCAATAAAAATATCGGTATCGGTACTCGGTATCGGCAAGTACCAAAAATAAAAGTATCGGTATCGGGCGAGTACTGGAAAAAGTGGTATCGGTGCATCCCTAGTGAATATGTCCGGAGCAGGTACCTATTGGGGGTGCTTCATATCGCTGCACAGTTTTACGCTGCCTGAGGTTATACGGTCTGTCATTCTCTTCTCCAGCCTCTTCTGCCTCATCTCCTTCATCATCTTCATCATCATCAGCCTCCACATCCTCATCCTCCTCTCCTTCCTCATGTGACTCTTAAAAATAAAAAAAGAGAACTCTTTAAAACAAACAACAAACTAAACCTTTTCTTCAGCATCAGTTGAAAATCGAAAAAAAAAAAAATTATATTCAGAACTTCTGCAATGGAAAAGCCCTTTTACACTTTTTTTTGCAGACGGGGGACACGACATGTCTCACAAACGAAATACAAGGTATAGGTTTAAAACAAATAAACAAGACAGATGACATAGTCAGACGCAATAAATAAAAAATTTAAACAAACAAGCCAAAAATTTTAAATAAGTAAACTAAAACAAGAAAATATGTCTATTTAATAATCAATGAATTAATCAAATGTATTTAATAATCAAAAATCAACTGAGTTGTATGCAAACAATTAAACTGTGTTTAGGGCAGTTTCGCAGTCCACACATACCATCAGTTCCTTCTTCCTCTTCTGGGTCTTTTGATTTGCTCATGACTTTGTGATGCGCCTGCATTCCATACGTGTTCCTACGCAACGATTTCCTCCTCTTCACGCGGGAGTACATGTCCATGTTTTCCTGCAGCAAAAAAAAAAAAATCAACAAACATTTAAATGAGAAATGTGGAAGAATCAATGGAGTTTGTGGTGTGTGAGTTTTGACTCATCAGTGGGTTCACAGCCCACACTGAAGAGAAAGGCCAATGCTTCAGAGTGAAGCAGGATTTTAATAACCTCAATGTGGGCAATCGTTTGCTTAATGAGATGGAAAATAAGGCGGCCCAATTGTTCTGCTGTTTAATCATCAGTGTTAAAGAATAGAAGGAGTCACCAGTTCAGTGTCCGTCCACATGCGGAGGCGCTCCACTTCCCGATTCTGCCGTATGCTGCTGATGTTGTCCATCTCTTGAAGAACTGCTTCTGCCGTACTAAAAACAGACATAAAAAATGCATTTAATAACAAAACAACTTTTTAATCTAATAAAACCGTTCTCAAACGGTGATACAGATCCAGATATTTAAAAATGCTAAAAATCAGTAATTAGTACCAGATTCATAAACAGGTTTATTTTAACCCTATAAAGCCTACTGTATCATATTTGATACGCAAAATTTTAAGGCCTCTAAATTATCAACATGATCAAAACTTTACCTAAAAACATGTTGTACACAATCGTTCACATGCCTTCTGTCATCTGATTGATAGTTTATACTTTAATAGCAAGTAAACGGCATTTTAGACCTTCCAGTCTAGTAGGTTTTGCTGTGAAATCTTTACCGATTTTTTTACTTTACTTGATTATCCATACATTATCTATTAGAAAAATCATGTTAAAATGTGACTATCAAATATGATCCATCAGGAGGAACGCTTATTTGTTCATCTCTCAATCATCATTTCATTCGATGTTTTACACCCACAATAAAAAATACAGAACTTTAAACATAAAACTAAGCAGTCAAATATCATCTTACTAAGACATATTGGGATATACAGTGACAACTGATATTTATATGCATTTTATATACTGTTATAAAGATCTCACTGATTTACATTACAAGCAATCAGAATTTCATTGATGAATATTATATAAGCAGCTGCACCAAATTGTATATTTTTCCTCAGTTTGGGCCTCTGAATAAGACTGGGGTGTTTTTTGTTTACCTCTTCATGCTTCATATTCTGTATATCATACTATAGAATAGGAGTGGGCACTATAATGGTATGAATGTGACTACCGGTATTATGTTGTTCCATGATATGGATTTTGCAATACCGTGGATACCACTTGTCTGATAAGTAAATAATTGAACGCAAAATATTAATTTGACATGTTTTAATTACCTCAATATGAAGACTCGCAGTACCTGCTTGAGCGCTCAGTTATCAGTTGTAGCAGTTGTGGTTGTATCAATAACAGACCACTAGATGGTGCGATCGAAGAATCAGAGTTAAGTTGTATTGCAGGAAGCCATGTAGAAATATAAATGAACGACGCATGGTTCTGCTCTAAGCATGAAAGTTACAAGTTTGTGAAAGGACTTCCAGTTCCAGGTAAGCATAAAGCAGAATATGAATATACTTAAGATTTACAAATACCAAAACAACGTGTCTACACCAGACGTGAGCGGCGCAATTTGACGAAAGCAAATAGAACCCAGTGACGTTCTCTGCTGTGGATGCGGCGCGACACGACTCGACAAATCCATGACAGTAAACTGATGCCGCGTTCTATTTCTTACTTAAGATTCACAAATACCAAAACAACGTGTCTACACCAGACGTGAGCGGCGCGATTTGACAAGCAAATAGAACCCAGTGATGTTCACAAATCCATGACAGTAAACTGATGCCCCGTTCTATTTCTGACGAACTCCAGCACTCTGACATAAAGAACAATTTCAAATAATATTCATAAGAGAATCGTGAAAAAATTGTTTCCTCAAAAATATTAAGCAGCACAAATGTTTACAACATTGATAATAATCAGAAATGGTTACTGAGCAGCAAATCTGCATATTAGAATGAATTCTGAAGGATCATGGGACACCGAAGACTGGAGTAATGATTAGAGCCCGACCGATATGGGTTTTTTGGGGGCCGATGCCGATACATTTTATTATTTCATTCATAAATAGGCCTAATGCCGACGCGAAATGTTTACAAACAATATATTAAACTCTGTAAACATAGCTAGGCTATTTTAGTTAACGGCACAGATTTTACTACATATTTAAACTGAGCAGTGTTTTTTTTTTCCATATGTTTGACAGACTGTATTTTATTATGATAATGAACAGGCTGCATTGTCAAGGTAGCAATGCTTAGTGCTCGCATGCGGCGCCGGCACAATCACTTGAATTTTTTCCTTCTAACAGTGGAAGAAACTACTCCTTTTATTCATAAAGATAATCGGAATTGTAAAAGGTTTGCCTTTATTTGTGTACATTCACAATAAAAACAAATCTTTGTGCTTTTGTAAAATAAGCTCAAAGAAAAATAGGATGCCACTTTCTGCCGTCTGTTTCCTTTCGCACAGCACAAAAATGAACCGAAACTCTACATATTAGGCTACTCGTTGCACAGTTTCTTTCATTTTCTTAATTTATTATTTAAGTAAAACTATATTTCTCGTATAGGCCTATTTATTCGTTATATATATATATAGCCTAGCTTTATTATGTTTTTCTCCGCTCGCAGAAGCGCTGCAGGTGCGTGATGTGATATGATGGTCATGTGAATCCTCATGTTCTGTTGTTTACTGCTTTTTGCGCATGTAAAATTAATCCCCGGGGAAACAAATGTTAGTATGGGTCACAGACATTTATCCTTTCTAATTTAATTCAATTCTAATTTAAAATAATCTTGTCGGTTAACGGTTAATAATCGGTTAACGAGCGTCGATTGTTGGTTAGGAAAAATAACCGAAATGAACATCCCTAATAGAATCCATAATAGTCTGATGTATCAAATATGATACACAACAAAAAACAAATGCACATTTCTAACTAGTACTTCACATGTCAGGCTTCACAGGCTTAATATGGAAGAACGTCATTCAGAATGAGTAAAGCAGCTCAACCCATTCATGTGCAACACCAGCAGGTCTCCTCTCTCCAATACACTTCCACCATCTGTCTTTGACTAGCAGCAACATGTTACCTCAAAATAAAAACCTGATTAGGACACAACCCAGTAAATGCATCATAAAAATGTATTTCAAAATCAACCTTTTTTTAATACACAGCCAATATAATCATAATATATAAACAATTTTTTTAAAGATGTGAGAGTTGTTTATGAATACCCAAAGCAAAGAAACAATGTCAATTAAATCCACTTTTGTAAATCCAACCAATCTATTCACAATGAAAGTGTCCAAACCGCAATATTTCACATATACGTATAACTGCAAAGTCTATAATATGTAAACTAAATTATTTACACACTAAACCCAGCAGAAATTCCTGCACAATCTACATATTTTTAAATGCTCATGACAAATATCACTACCTGCAATTCACAACAATTGCCTGCCGGTTGGCGTTTATCCTTTATATTAGGCCTGGGCGATAAAACGGTATCGATATTTATCGACGGTACACCTTCTTCGGTATCGATTGAAAAAATGTTCGATATAGCGCACGATATAGGCACGTACTATGAGTGACGCAGACAGCACACACAAACACATGCTGAAATGAGTGACCAAGCCATTCACACAGAACGCATATTCAGCGCATTTTTTAGACGAACAAATGACTGCTGCACTCGCGTCTCACAAGAGATGTATAGAAAGCCATGCAAAGTTAAAACAGTTTAAACTTTTAGAAAACACGTCACGAATTTGTGGAGGTTTATTCATTTTCACTGCGTCTTGTATGTTTTAAAATGCAATCTGTGTGAATGGCGCTTCAGCTCTTTGGATTAAGCAATGCATAAATACATGATGCTGTTTTGTTCATAATCGTTTATGCAATTTACGAAATTATATTTGCTTTTTATGAGTTTAGACGTAATGCACGTTTTTATAGTTACTTGGTAAATGCGCTGCATTATTTTGCTCATTGTGCCCTCCTGTGGCCTCGGGAGACAATTCGACCTATACAATAAAGACCTATTTAATCTGCATACAAAACATTATAAATGAGATATGTGTTTAATTTTTATTGTGTTTGATTGTTAAAACAAAAATGTGTCTCAATAAATTGTGTTAATTATAAATACAGTGGTTAAATTTAAACTTTTTTTTCTATTGCTTTTTGTTTTAAAAAAGGTTATAAAAAATGTCAATAATTATCGATACTGAACGATATGAAACATTATACCGTTGATACATTTTTTAGCTATATCGCCCAGCCCTA